CTAGAAGCAATGGTTTCTATAGCCTGCAAGAGATACTGAGATTGACACGATCTTGGCTCCTTAATCACATCAGAGTGGGATTTTCTACTCCTAATGCTTAAGTGCATGTCAATACCAAGACAGATTGCAATATGCATATTACTATGCCAAGAAATCACTTTAAAATTATTCAATGTAATCTGTTAATAATTGAGTAACTTCTGGTAAAGAATTATTAAAAACAACATGAATTCATCACTCTGAAAAAAGAATTAATAAAAACCAAAAGGTATACAAAGTCCTAAGATCTAAGCAACCTCACACTGAGAAATAATTGATCTTCTGTATTCTAAGATAACTATCTTAAAATGCTTGTATTTTAAAGAATACTGGATTGCTTTCTAAATCACGTTCCTTTCATCCACAATGCTTATTTTGTTTTCCTTTTCAGAACCTCTGTTTTTAATACACCCAGTTGTAGGGTTCTCCTTTCCAAGCAAAAAATGATATCCTAATATTTAATATACACATTAAAACTGCTGTGCATCAGTGTTCCAGACAGGATTCACTAACTGGAGATATATATTTGCTACAGGGGTAGGAAAAAGCAGGAGGAGGAGAGTGCAGAAATAAGAGAGTTGCTATGCCAACCTACAAATGCTAATGGCATGACAAATACAAAAAGGTCACAGGAAAAAAAAAGAAAAAAAAAAAACAGAAAAAAAAAGAGAAAGAGGAAAGAAAGAAGAACTCATATCAAAACATATGTGTATTTCATTCAACAAACAATGCAGATACTGTATTTAAATTCCTTCAAAACAATGTCATTTCAAAAGAAAAAAATGCAGCACAGTAGCACACTGAAAATCAGGTTGTCTTGGTCCTTCTTATGATTTAGTTCTTAAATGCCTTATTCTTTATCGTCCATATCATAAAGATGGTGTTTTAAGAAAAAGTTACATATGAATGCAGAATGGATTTGCCTGCAAGTAGATAACTTGACAATTAGGGCCAATATTTCAGAGTAACAAACAAGTATAATAAAGAAAACGAGTAAAAAGTGCATTAGGATTAGTTCTATGTTAACTAGATCATGCAACAAAAGATATTTTTGTCTTTTTGAGATAGAATTCTGTAACAAACTCAAACTCATATCTTCTACCTAAAATGGTAAAAAAGAATTTTTAAGAAATCTTTCAGGGCGACGTTCAACTGATTTTCAAATATTTGGGTCTGCTTCATTTAAAAAAAAAAAAAAAAAAAAACAACAAAAAAACCCCAACTGTTCTGCGTGTTCTTTCTATAGTTCCTAAGGTTTGTTATGGCAGATACTAGTAATGACTCTTCTGCATCTCCTCTTATTTTTAAGAGCATGCAGTACAGTCTTCTACATCAAACTCCTGCAACAGAGACTGTTTATGACAGAATTCAAACCCACCCAAAACACAGAATAGGTTTTCTTTCTCACTTGAAATATGTTTCCAATCTGGCTGAAATACCAACCATTTTAAATTACTATTTTCTTTGTCTTTCTAGTACTGCAAAGGACAGTACTAACAGCATGCCAACGACTTTTCCTGGGTCAAACTCATGTCTTCACCAGGGCAAATGCAACAGTACTGGGATGCAGACAGACTACCTGTGGACAACAGAGCATCAGAAAGCCCATGGGAGAAGAGAGGAGGGCTGGGCCAAAGCATACACTGAAAGCTTCAAATATATACAGTGTCCTGACCTATTTATCATCAACTTTTTGAGTGGACAACAGGCAGAATATAGAAAACACAAAAATTTTATGGTATAACCTGAGTTTTCTAGCATAGAATTGCAGATCCAAGATAAAGTTTTACATAAGCTTTGGCTGAGCATTCAAAGACAAATGAGTTGCTCAACCTTTTGAAGTTCACCCATTGCTAATTAAAGAACTGCCAAGGCTTTACTAACAATTAGAAACTTGTCTTTAAAATCCCCAAAGAGGAAAATGCAAACAGCTGTTTTAATTAGCAAAACAGCAGATACTAATTAGCTTCTGTAACAGAGTATGCTGGTCCTTTAAGGACAGGACCAGTTTCAGCCAAAGTTTATTACCCTTTTAAACTACAAGTAGAAGAACTGCAGTCAGATGCTATGGAAAAAGCTTCCGATTCCTTGTGAAAGCAATACTGCCCAACTTCAAGTACACAAAAATGAGACATTTATTTCAAGTAAGCTTTTACGCTTATTCATCTCCTAGTTTCTGATCTTTCTGGAACCAGTAAGTGTACAGACATTTGAGCAGGGGCTGAGGATTATTTGAAATGTCTTGTCTTCTGATGATCCTGTGGGGATCATAATTGTAATATCTCCAAGTTCTGGGCAAATGGCCACTGTGTCTGGACAGAGTAATATGTGCATATCTACACAGGAAACCACGGAGTTCAGGTTACACCAAACCTTCTGTGAAAGCACTGGTCATTTGGACAGCTGATGTAGAGTTGCTCCAACAGAGCACATCTTTCCTTTCTCACAACCTGTCAAGGCCGGTTCTGAAGAACTAAAAAAAATTCGGATGAAGGAGAAGGGAGAGGAGAGAACAAAAGAGGCTGGAATTACCACTTCACTGTGTTCAGAGCACAGATCCTTGGAATCGGCAGATGTGCTCTTAGAAGATGCATACAGGTGCTTCCAACAATCAGTTTTAAGGTTTAAAGATATAAGTCACATCCCATAAGAACTAGGCTGCATATAACTGTGTTTACAGCTAGTTATTTTGGCATTAGTAGAGTCAGTTACCATGGACATGATATCAATAATAAACAGGATACTGCTGCAATTAGAAGATACGACATAAATGCTGAAAGTGAAATGCAATGCACAAGTTTAAAAGTCAATTTATTGGTACTATATACAGAGTGAAAGAATAAATGAGAATACGAAATGATGGCCCCATAACTACAAAACTATTATAGCAAATAATTTTGATAGGTATATATGTGTTTGAAACCACCAGTCAGCAGTCAAATCTTTCTTCCAAACATCTAGAATACACTTTTCCTTCAGAAATTGTGTTTGGAAAATCTAAAACTGTTGGGCTCGTATTCCAACATCGTAGGACAGGACAGGTCAACAGCTGTAATGGAAGGATGACAATTGCTGCTCTTTTACCATTCTGTGTGCTCTGCACATTCTATGTTCGATAAAGACAGTTACCAAGGGCAGGCAGTGAGTAAACAACATCCTTCAAAAATCAATTTGGCATTCTGATTAACGACCGCAATTTTAAATAAAACCAAAAAAATTTATTTGTAAACATAAGCACTATGATGACAAAACACATAAAATATAGATATCTATCACTGTGCACCTATACAGGCAAGACTGTTAATCCTATTTCTCTGAAATCTCAAGAAGTATCACAGGATTCAGCTAACCGCAAATAAAGCTAGCTACCCAGGAATCCATATTTCTATTTGTGTTTATGCTTTTCATTACATATTGTAACATCTCAGCTCCGCCTGCTAAATGGTTTCTGCATATTTTTTTGTCTTTGTATAGTATTTCAACATCTGTTTTTTGAAACAGTATGAGAACATCACTTAGTGATTAAATCTGACAAAAACCCCACAAACACTGTGCTATATGAGGCCCTTTAGGGTGAAATACCAACTTCATAGAAATTAAGTACAGTTAACTAAGACCAGAATATAACCTCAACAGCATGCACGATCTAGTCTTGATGATTATTGCTTTCTCTTCAAATTAATATTGCTTTGTCTACTGATTAAAATTTTAGACAGAAATAATATTTTTTTCAGCATGAGGAGACAGTATGTCACAGCAGAACTAGAGTTTCTATAATTTAACTTGTTCTGTGTATTAAGATCTATAATGTTCATTCAGTTTCAGGATTTGCTAACTATTTTTCTAGTGATAACATACACAAGGCTCAAATGTTTTCTCTGTTGCTGTGTTCTGCTTTTCCCAGCTTAAAATGCAAATGAGACATTTGGTTGAGACACTCCTGTTTTTCCAGTGAACAGAAGATGTGGCACACTTCAAGCATTGTTCCTTTTGAGCCCCACCCTGCTTATGCAGAGGGTTCAAATGGGTTCAGTGAAATAATAAAGACATTTCTGGAGGGGGATCTTCTCTAAAATGCTTTTCAATGACATTTTAGTTGCTGAGGTGACCAGGCATTACTGGCCTCTGGACAGACTAGGATCTTGTCCTTTACGAGAAGAACACTGTCGTTCTCATATCACAGAAACAAGTATTTTTTGAGTTTTTACTTCTAACAAAACTGTATTGATTAAAGCCATTCACTCTTTATTCCCCAAGCACAATACTACCTGTCAAAACTCCACAATAAAGTAAAGCTGCTTAAATGGAGTCATATTTAAAAAAATCTTCTTATTAAGAACAAATTGTTTATGACAAAATCAATCATCGCTGAGAAGCACCTAACAATTCCAAATCCAATTCATTTCTTGGAGCTTGAACCTTAGCTGCCAGACAGGTTAAACTAAAGGGGGGGGGGGGGTTATATCCTTTTTAGGTAGGTGAATATTTCAATTTGGAAGAAAACCCCAAGCAGATAAATATGATATAAAAATGTTGCCTGAACACCCAATAAAACATTATAAATCATCAATACACAGTTAGAGTAAGAGATCATTGAGTTACACACATCATTAGATAAAAATGTGTATAAAGACCTAAAGCCGAGGTGTCTCCAAGTCCTACTTCTTATTCTCGGACTTCCAAGTTGCGTGTGTGTAAGCTTTTCTAAACTCCATCTGTGTAGGCTTTTCCAAACTCCAAGTCAAGACATTTTTTACTTAAGTAAATGTGCACTGCTTGTACACATACCTCCAGTAACTAGTACTTCCATATGTCAGCATCATGCCTAACTCAAATAACTTCCACGTGTTAAGTTTGCAACTACGGCAAACTTCTCCTGCTGTGCACTGGTTTGCATTCCTGACAGAGAAAACAACCTATGAACAAAACCCCCAGTGTTAACAGAAAAAAATCTTACTTACGAGTACTTTGTCAGCAGATCCAAATCATTATGCATGTTGATTGGATATGTCTCACTGAGATGAAACAGCTTCTCTAAGGCCTCATAAATGAAAATGATGCAGATAAGAGAAGCAAAAGCTTCTTCAGTAAACCGGGTAATGTAGCAGACTAGGGAGCTTGCATCAGTTGCAACAAGGATGATGCACAGGATTGCAGTCCACAGTCCAATGCTAGCTCTCAGAGAAAGGTACGACAATCCATACTCTCTAAAAAAACCAAAAAAAATTAGACACAATTTCTCTTTTGTCCAGCCATCACAAACAGAGAAGAGGCAGCTCCAAATTTTCCTTTGCCTAGGGATGTCCGACTCGGGGGACAGTCTGAACGAGATACTATTTACCTATTGTGAACTGAAGATACTGTCAAGTCACTTCTTGACCTGAGCTCTCCCCCCAGTTAAGAGGGCACAAAGAGCTCTATCTCTACTAAACTGAGTAAGCAGCTTTGAGAGTAGTTCACACACATGAACTGTATGAGGTCCACCCACGTTTTACCCCATATCCTGCCTTGTGAACAGCCAACACTTGCCAATTTCTTCTTAAGCTGCAAGAGTAGCTATAACAACAACTTTCATCAAAATCCTGTATGCTTATTGCATATGATAATAGAGTTCCAAACACACTGGGTGACATTAACACAGAGAACTGAAAGGTCTACCTGCAGGTGATAAAAAAGCTTTTCGGGTGCTAAGCAGGGTCTCCTACTCTATGCTGTTCAGAGGTTCAGGATATCTTGGTGCAGAAGTCCCCATCACAGCAATGAGCCAGAAAAGCAAAGAAGATGGCAGAGAAACATGATGGTTGCCAAGATGCACATACAATTTTTACCCACACTGTGGCAGAGGTATGTCATGTATAGCACATTAACATAAACGTAGGGATATGCTGTTCAGGCATGACACTCAGGGGGAGGACGGGCAGGGCCTATATTAGTGATTATTGAAAGGTGGCACCACTGCCACTGCACTTTCTTCCTTGGTGAGAGGTAAAACCTTTTGCATGAGTTAGTAATGAGACAATCCACAGATTTAAATGTTTTATTTCAGAGTAGAAAATGATAAAACTAAAAAAACCCCAACATCCTGAAGCTTGCGTTCCCTTCAAAGCCGATTTTTCTTTTTGCGGGGGGGGGGGAACCCCCAACAATTAAAAAACCCCACCAACCTTCCTGCATTACCACCAGTTCACATGTCTCAGTCACTGTATAACTTTCAAAGTCTGAAAACTCAAGCAGTGAACTCCAAAACAAACTGTTGATCTTATTCTGCAGATCTTGCAACTTTGGGATCAGTGCCTCTACTTTTACCTAACAGTACCCAAAGGATGATGCATGTCACAGTCTTCACTTACTTGCAAAATTTGAATAAGATCTTCTCAAATACTAAAACTGGTCCAGTGCTGCCAAGTATAGTGAGAGGCTGTCCACCGAAGAGAGAGTAGGCAATTCCAGTCATGGATGCTCCAAACAGCGATTCTATTGCACTCTGAATATGGTAGAGAGAGAAGTGTCCATAAATTTTCAAACAGGTTCTTTTTACAATGCCTTAGTCTGTAGCCTTCTAGACATTGAAACACCAATATTTAAAAGTGATTCATGCAACGGTAAGCAAATACTAACCACAAACCTAGTAATGTAAGTTTGTTTTAAAAGTTCAGATTTAACACATACTATACGACCTTCAGTTGCTTCTCCCAGCAGACCACCAAATGTGATGACAGGAGACATGCAAGCACAGTAGAGAAACAAAAATGATGCCAGACACTGCAGACTGAGAGCATCCCTGAAGTCACTCCAGAAGAAGGGAGCTTTTCTTTTTATATCTAAAATCAATCCTCCAAAAAATCTAAAAAAACAAAAAACAAAAAAACAAAAACCCAAGAGATCAAATTAATATGGCATACCAAACTTTCTTCCACAGTATTGCTTTAAATATACTGCAGAGAAGCTATTGTTCCTTGATCAAATGTACATACTTTTACAATTCATTCTTCCCAGAAACTTGTTTCTGGGATCCGTGTCTTGATAACTTTAATCAGGAAATTGTGTTTTTAAAACAAACGAATTCACATGTTTCTTTTATAAAATCTTCATCTAATCATCGAGACCCAAAACTTCTGAGCAGTTGTTAGCTCCCACGCATTAAACCCTATTATTTATTATGTGAAAAAATTCTTTGCATTTGTTTATTCAGAGAGGTACCACAGTGCCCACTTGCTTGCACATCTGCATATAGAGTTTTGTATTCTTTATTTGAGAACCTCTACCTAAATACACTTGATAATAGAATTTAATGTAGGTCATAATTTTCCAAGGACAAGAACTGCCATCTTTTGTCATTTACACTACGCTAAATATAATCAACTATTTAGGAACAGATGCTCCCTTACAGTATATGATACAGTTAAAATAAATATCCCCACAATGCTCTTTTTCTCGCACACACCCAATGTATCAGGTGTTGCCGGGGTAAAGAGGAAGACAAAGTGCCACCATCTCCTAAATACCAGGACAACCCTTTGAGCTGTCAGTTACCACATTAATGAGTGAAAGAACAGCTTACAGCCAGACTGGCCATCGTCTCCTCTGCCTCACTGTGTACACCAAACACTGCAGCTGAATCTTTAGCCTTATGCATGTAGGAATGATATCTAAATATCAAAAGGCAGCAAGGTAAAAGAAAAGTCTATCGCACAACTACACTGCACTAAGGCAACCACTGACAGCTGATGCACTTACGCCACACCATATCAGACAAGAGAGCATAAGTATTCCTTGGGGCAAATTCTTCCTTCCAATGTGTGCATATTGCAGCCACCGTGGTAATCACAGCCTCATGTACCAGGACATATCATGGCTAACTGAGGTAAAAAAAAAAAAATGCTAGAGCTGCACAACCCAGAAACTTCAATTGCAAAATAGTTGTAAGCATTCGTAATATATGGCACAACACTATTCCCAATTTTTTCTTCATGCTGTGCAAAAATAAGAAATGTTAGTCAAGTTTAACAAAGGTCTGACCTTCATAAATAATAGAGAAAGGAGCTTGCAATAAATACAATGTGAAAACTCAAATCCTCTGTCCCTCTCCCCCTCTCTACAAATTAGCATGTATTGTCCTTTTCAGCTATGTGGCATGCAAATCAGGAAAAAGGCCTGAAAAAAGATCATATGCCAAGCCAGTCATTTGAGAGAAAACTGGACCATTATGATTCCCTTGAGAGGGCATCACTCAGAACACAAGATTTTGCATATGTTTTCACTAACTTTCCAGTGCGTTGCAGTTCTGGTCCAGAATGTCCTCCAGGTTGTTCTGCGTCCCCATGGGCTGCAGTCCCATTTGGCACTCCTGGGATCTTACGCTTCTCCTACCAGAAGGAAAAGATACTTCTCATGGGTCTTAGCAACCAAAACATAATTTTAGTAGAAGAAACAGGCTTTGAGAGTTGAAAGACTAAACATGTGAATTTTATTGTAAGATTCATCAACATCACCTCTTCATAAGCTGCAGAAGAATTCTATAACAGAAAATAGTAGAAGGAATTGCCGTCTAAGATATTTAAAGAACTGATCACGGAAAAACTTGTATAAGAAAATATTTCAAAGAGTAGCAAGCCAGGCTGCTTTGATCAATTCTTGCGATAAGCTTAGAACAAAAGCAAACCATGGTTGTTCAGCATTATCAAAGATGCTTATGACCAATTACCCCTGAATGTAAGATCTTTAGATACAACTGTCTGTCTTTATTCAAGAGAGAACTAGTATTGAGCTACAAAAAATGTCATCACTATACTGTATGCTTGCAAGCCAAGGGTTCTCTTAAAGCAAATTAGCCAAAAAAAAAAAAAAAAGCATGCAAAATGTCTATATAGTGACTCTGTTAAATCCTAAATTAATAAGACTTAATTATACCTAGCAATAATTCATCACACCATTTAAAAGAGTCTGAATTTCACAGTGTACAAACCTGAGAGGGAACATTTTTAGGTGGTTCTATTCGAATTGTTGGGTCCCACTCTCCAGGAGGGAGAACAGTAACCTGATCAAGAAACTCATCGATTCCAGATACCAAGTCATTGCGGTCTTTTGCTTTGTATGCAACGTCGTGGAACACCTGTGAAAAATGGAGAAGCATATGTGGGAGGAAAATGAGATAGAGAAAAGAATACTCTTATTTTTCACAATGGCCCCTTTTCTCTGAAATAGAACGCACTCCGTGCAGTTCCCACCAAACAATCTCAGCTTCAACTGATTAGAATTTCTGGTACATAGTTTTCATACAAGTTCCAGCTGCTATGGAAAACATCCTTATGTGTGCTAAATGTTCTAGAGATATTACAGCTTAAAACACAATTGATTCCACTGGAAAGCAACTGTGTAAAACGGAATCTTCTCAGTGAAGATACCATGGCATGTGAATATTGTTTCTCTTTTTGTTACCTCCTTATGGTAGCATAAGCTGGGCTGTTACAGGATCATGAAATGAACTAGAATGCTATTTGTGCATGATCAGAATGATTAGCCACATTTCATCTGAACAATTCCACATTGGAGATTCCCTATTACACCTCTTCAGTCAGTACAAAATGACTAAAACCAGGCCGTGAACACAAATACCTCATCTGTCATTAGTGTTGCAATTGATCTTCCAATCTCATGGTATTGTTGCCCTTTACCAAGTGGTCCAAGAAGAATAAACAGAAACCTGCAACAATAAAAAAATTGTCAAGGATAGATGGTTGAAAGTAACTATACAAGCTACGGAAAAACTTATTTAAAAATTGGACTAGAAGAACCTCAAAGACAAATATTATATATAATCTCCTTCAAGATCCTCACACATGCATTTAAACATGAAGCTCTGGTTAGAAAAAATGTGAAAATAACTTCCAAAAATATATCATAAGCTTCACAGTCAGACTTGATTGAGACTATCAAAACCTCCTTACATAACAAACCTTATCTTATATAATAAATATATGCAATTATAATCTATGTACAGAACACATTAACATTAATTTATTTAATTCTGTTAATTCAACAGAATCAATTATTCTATGGTAGTAGCATTACTGCAATATTGGGGAAGTGAAATTACCCCTGACTAAAAAAATTTTAAAATCATTCTTACTCCCATTAAGGTTCTAGACAGCCTCTACTCTAGGCTTGGAGCTAGTAAGATTCTTTAAATGCAGGGTATAGGTTCAAATGAAATAACCGAAGTTCTCAGTTTTGCCAAAATGCAAAACACATTTTTTTTTATTAACGTTATTATAATTTTTTAAAGAAACATTTTTGCATAAATTCTTAATTACCCTAATTTTTAATTCTTTAATTTTCTTTTGGCCGAAAATCAAGAAATCTCTTGTCTTCCTTTTGGTGTTTTTTGGGGTGTTTTTGTGGGAGTTTGGGGAGGTTACAAGAAAAGGCTTCAGAAGTTTTTTTTCAAAGCCAACTCAGTCCCTCAATGTCCTTTATACACATGCAAAAATTAGAAAAGACAAAAAAAGTCATATCCAATGTAACTACAAAGTAACTATAACTAAAGAAAATTTTATACTGTTTATCTGACTAGAAGCAATGATCTGAGTCTCAGCATTGCATTTCATAGAGTAACACATTCCTGAGTGTCACAAACAACTGGAATATACAACTGCCTTCTGTCGGAATTCTACTTCTAGAGAAACTGAAAAAGGGAAGGGGAGAGAGACAGAATCTGTGTACAAACATAAGCACAAATACAAAAAAAAAGCGAGAGACTGCAATAATAGTTAAGTCAGTGTACTCAGACATGGGAAAATCACTTTAGAGTTTTGATCTGAATCAACCCCAGCAGGAAACAATATGTCTGCAGATCTATTTAAATGCTATTTGACTACAAAGTCTATTTTAGACATTTTTTTAAAATTCCTCACAATTTGTACTCAGAACCAAAGTACTCCACCAGACAACGTTTCACCTCAGAAAAAAAAAATCTAATAAAAATTTATGGTTAAAAGTCACATTTAATACCGTGTAAGTATCTGCAAAGTAACTTTTAGAGTGTGATATTTACTGCATTCTTCATCCACTCATTATCCCTAGTCAATCAAACCACATAGTTTATTCTTACCCTTTAGTCAATTCCTTCTTCATTTTTTTCTTCTGGACATAATTATGTATTATCACACAAGTAGTTTCAGTTCCAGATTAAATATTCTAAGCAGCTGAATATTTCACCTTAGTATTTCATCTGCAGTACTACCAGTTTGCATAGAATAAACTGTGTTGTAACCCAACAAGCTATCATTTCTACTCCTACAAATAATTATTATATGCACACACAATCAGTGTGTTTCTGAATATACCCATACATCACTTAAAGGATGAGTAGAAAGAAGTATCTAAAAGATGTCTTTGTTAAAGAAAGAACCAAATTCATAACTCAATAAAGGACAAAGTTGAAAGTCACACCACCCTGTCTCCACAAGGTACTCACAAAAAAACAAGAAGAGAAATAAATCCAACTGTACCTTGTTGGAATCGGAACTTCAGCTAGTCCCGTAAGCAGCACTGCAGGAGATAACCTAACAAAGGCAACAACCGCACGGTCCAGGAACTCCAGTTCACCAACTAAGATGTTTGATGCTTCAGCTCCAGGTGGTATCTTTTTCATGAAGTGTAGGTCAACCTGGGAAAATTATATTAAATTACAATCTAAAAGCTACTCACAACGATTTCCCCCCCGTTTTGTTGACAGAGGCTTTCTGGTCACTGCAATATAACCTTAGTTGTGTCAATTATACAGTTTCTACTATTCCTGTCTGCTGAATAACTATTTTTAACTAAAAATGTTTCTCAAAACCAAACAACTCGTCTTTCATTATTTGACTAATTTTTCTTGGAAACATAGTTAAAATACTGCAGAATTAATTTATAAAGACAACAAACCACATTCAAAATCTTAAGAATAGAGTATTAATTTCCTATTAATACATTTTATCAATAATCATAACAGCATCAATAATCCATAACAGTAGAAGAAATGAAGAGACCATATTTTTCCATAATTAACAATTGTGGAAATCATTAATTCATAGTTCATAAGTGCTGCATTATAATCTCAATGAGAAGAACAAGTTCCACTGCATGTAATTTTCCTTCTACTATTCTAAGTGAGATGTCATTTTGTTTTCAGATTTAATGGAAGACAGTTGCTCTTCTGCTGAAAATGACAGAAAATAAGCTATGACCATGATTGTCTCAAGAGTAAACTGAAAGAGCAAAGCAGAATAAAAACTTCAGAGTTTTAAGACCATGATGTTGACTTTTACGGGGAAGGTAAGAAAAGACAGAAAAACAGCTTCATCATGACACTGCTAAATAAGCTCAAGGTATTTGCCTAGGAATGTGTTCATTTGTATTTACTTCCTCAGTATCAGTCTAGGGTTTACTCTGTAACAAAGATCGACATGGAGTAATAGAGTATATAATGTATGTTTGATTTCATTATGCACCAGTATTATCTACATTTCAAAATGCATGAATTTTGTCATTTGCTTTCCTTTTATTAATCTAAACACAACAACAGCAACCAAATCCAATATAAACTGTTAAAGTGGACCATTTTAATGTCTATCTTACAGCCATCTGTCAGCACTAGTTTGCATAGTTTTTGGTAATATTTAGAAAATTGTTTTCTTGCAAATGGCTCTGGCACTAAATCAGAATTCAGATATAACACAGTTGCCCATGTAATGAAATCTTATTTCCCTTAGATCACAGAGATGTCTAATGCTATCCTAAGCTAATTCAGAATGACAACAAAACACCTCACAAAGTTAAACAAGCATCAAACCAATGTGGAAGGTTGGAGTCCAAGTACCTTTTCAAGGTAAAGTATCAGTGAGGTAAATTCTGTTCCCCACTCAAATCACAAAACAGCTCTTCAGGGTTAAATACAAAACCCAAACGGATTGACTTGGCACTTAATTTTGATGTCATAGGTCATTTACAGCTGAGAAGAAGGAAGTAGTCTTTCAGGCACATAGCAATGTGCACTCTGTACCAATTTTACCTTGTGAATGGATTTAACATTTAATAACTAATGTCTCATGTACAACATGCTACAGTTGTCACCTTAAGATCCCACTAACATACAAATCACAAGATCAAGATCCAAATCTGAAATAAACATTCAGTCTCCTGTTTACCAGAAAGTATTTCCAGATAAATTTCCTGTACTATTTATCAGCTTGAAATGCCAAAATTTCTAGGTAGTGAACAGAGCCCCAGTTAAAAGAAAAGCAGTTGGCAGAGAAGCATCCGACTGAGAAAATACATCTGAACCCCAGACGTTGCTTCCACTACATAACGAGAGCACAGGTGGCCCTGGAATGAGTTTGGGGCAATGGCAAAAGCTACATCCTTCGCATGCTTCATCTAATCTGTCCATCACATGCCACTTATCCCAAGAGGTCTTCAGCTAGATAGACCTCACATACATCTTAATCTGCACCCTAACCTAAGCCACATTCATGACCTGGCACTAAGTAGTATCAGCAAGCTCCAATAAACATACAACTGAATAATTAATGTGGAGGCCATTCCCCTCCAGGGCAACTCAAGGACTGAAAACAGTGGTGGGGGCCTCCCCCCGCACCAAACAAAAATTGATGTGAAGACAAACAGAGTATCATAGAATTGTAGAATGGTTTAGGTTGGAAGGGACCTTAAAGATCATTTAGTTCCATAGGCAGGGACACCTCCCACTAGGCCAGGTTGCTCAAAGCCACATCCAGCCTGGCCTTGAACACCTCTAGGGATGGGGCATCCACAACTTCCCTGGGCAACCTGTTCCAGTGCTTCACCACCCTCACAGTGAAAAATTTCTTCCTCAAATCTAATCTAAATCTACCCTCTTTTAGTTTGAAGCCATTCCCCCTCGTCCTATTACTACATGCCCTTGCAAAAAATCCCTCACCAGCTTTCTTGTAAATACCCAATGTCACTTCTTAGGAAAGCCCTGACACATATTCATCAAATTTATTTATACGCAGGGCCAGCCAGTATTCTAAAGCAAGTTGATTACTTCACATGGTATTTGAAAGGCCAAACTCTGTCAGTATGCGACCAGGGTTTGATTCAGAAATAGTTTCCATGTGGAGCATAGGAACGTTGCCATGAGAAGGGACACGGTTGCAGCCTCTTTATGCATTTTCTATTTCAGGCCAATTAGGGTTCCCTTCAGCCTCTGGCATAAGAAACAGAGAGCAGCCAGATGCCGTTGTTAAACTGCCATCCCCATCCTGCTCAGACACAGGATAAAGTGGTGCTGTGACAGATCACCTGCACATCACCCCAGGAATACAAAGTCCTAGTGGTGTCCCCAGAGGAAGAGGAGTGACACATTTACAAGTACAAACATCAGAAACTATGTCTCCCTATCTGTGCTACTGACATTCAAGACAGCTTTTAGTGCCATGTCTCACCTTATTCATAAATAGATACCAATACAATCAACAGTCTCAGTGCCGTATTCAGATTAAGTCAACTTTTTGAATCAACTCCAAAATTTGGAATATTAGAAGTAGCCCAAGGGAGACAGATTAGCAAGGAGAGAATATGTGAGGTAGTCAAAGGTGGTTTTTTGTAGAAGATAAATGAAATTAATATGTGGAACAAAATTAGAGCAAGAAATCACAATACTCAAGAGAAAATTAGTGTAGTGCTCTACTTTCCTCTCAATCTGTGCATATAATTCCAATTATAACCGTTGGGAGTTATTGCAATAGCACATTTCAAGGGGAAATTGTACTTTACTTATGCATCTTCAAAAGGATAAATGGATCTATTTAAAGGCAGTCAAAAAAGGTATTTCGATTACAACCCTTTACTGTTATTTCATTTCTGCAAACAAAAGTTGTTCCTTTCATCTTCCTGACGTCCTTGTTGGTATCCAACACTGCTGAGGCTATCCAAAAGATGACATGTCGATCTCTTCTCAGGCCAGTTTAAATAGGAAGAGCTCTTTTGATCAGCAAAGCTGCAGCACTACAAAAATACTAAGCGAAGGATCAAATGATGCAGCCTCCATTCTTGTTTAATAAAAACACCATTCAGCTAGATAACAGACTGGGATTTTGATCCTACAACACTCAAAGCAACTGGGGAAGCATGTAAGAAAAGCACTACTGGATGCCATGTTGTTCCCTTTGGATTGTTACGAGCTTCACCTCTGCACAGCTTAATTTTGAATAGACAGCTTTATATTTGATATCCTTTACAAAATTTTACATCTTGGTATTAGAAAACTTGTCAAAACAGTTATAGTTAACACTTTTACTATAAATATCAGGAACCCAAACCCCTACTTGACTTTTTAAGGCATTACAATCTTAGTTTTAAATATTTTTAAATTATTAGCATAAAATTTTTAACAACTTGTCATTGTTTATAGATCTCCTTGCTACCTCTGTAGAAATGTGGTCCATAATACAGCACCAGCCAGACTCCTTTCTTCTCCCTGTCTTTGACAAAAGAAACTGTTTCCCATCTTTATTTCAGCTATATACCGTTCCTAGTCTGGCATGTTCAGTCAAGAATTCAAATGGTGCAAATAGCTACTGCTGCTAGGAAGTAAGTCTGGCACCAGATGGAGCAATCACATAACTCTACTTTTAGCTCAGTTGCACTAACATTAAGATTCAACAGACTCAATGGGCTGTTCCTCAGAATTCTGGTTTAAATCACCTTTCTTCACTTACTCAACCTTTGTTGTATTAATGTGTCAGCTGAAGTCATCTATCCCTGTCAGGTCTGTCATCTGTATCTAATGTGACAGTTTGTTTTAGGTACATACAGACTTCTTAAATAAATTAGGATTCTCCTTTACATTAAAGCTGAGAAGCTGTTTGCTTTTCTTTGCTATCTAACATTGAACTGTCATTGCAATCTCCACTACTGAACAGTTAACATCTTTTGTGAAGTGTACTGAAATATCTTGGCTTGCCAGAAGAATTAAGTTATAGGTTTACAGAAACACATTCTGTTTGAGACATCTGGAATCCACGAATTCAGGTTATAAAAAGCGTAGTTTGCTTTCATGCATTACTTCTACAAAAAGTAAAAATCTGAGAGGTAAATTATAAGAATTCGGAATTACTTTCCTACTTCAATAATTTTCTGTTAATTTGTAAAAAATCCCCTTACAAATATACACCTATGATATTGTCATGCAATAAACTTATCTATGTTCCTTAGCTGTGATTTCCCGTTACCAGTTATTTATTAGTAAGTTTTATTTACATTTTTAAATTTTTGTTTTAGTTTATAGTAATTAAAAAATTCTTTTTTGTTATATACAAACTGTGTTGCAGTGTACATGAAACTTTAATGCTGAAGTAATATTTGCACTTCACAGCTTTTCCTGATTCACATGGATTCATTTTATTTCATTCAAAATATCTATTTGGTAGTTAGGAAGCTCTCTTCACCTTCAGTGAACACTTACCTTGCTAAAGTCAACAGTGCTATTTTCTCTGCTCACATCATTTTTGTTTTCAATACAGGCTGGAGCAGACTGTGGGGAAACAATCTGACCTGCTAAAAAAAGTATCATTATTACAAAATACTAACAATTACTTCTATAAACAAAGCAACATCTAATGAAATAGTTGTTAAAGAACTACATACATTTCCTATCAAATGTATATGAAGTATCCAAACATGGCATTTTAATTAAAGACTTATTTAGAATAGCGCATTCTCAAAAGACAGAACATTTATCATGTGCAGTTAGGAATGGGAGAACGTAATTTAGAAAATGTAAAAGATACTCTTGAATATTGGAAGACCAACTTTTTAATGACAATTAAAGCTTACGATTTTTAAGATACTACATTGGAGGAAAGTCCTGTATTCATATACTTTTTGTAAGTAATTTGAGAAGCTGCCAATTTTGAGCACTATCTATCTACAAGAATATTCCTCACTGAATAAAACAGGATTAATAATTTCCATAAATTTACTCGTGTATAAGAATGTCCTGATTATAACAACAACTATAAAAGCCAGCATAGAAGTGGGCTGCTATAAAAACAGATGTATTGGAAATTAAGACAATTTAAAAACTCAGTATTTGTTTTACATGTGATTATTGACATGTGTAAACCAAATGTTCCAGCAAGCACATTTTCAGAAAATTCCAGTGAGGATTTAATAAAGTATTTTATAGAAGTTTTAAAAATGACTCAAAATGAGAAGCATTTAAACAGGTCTCAGTCTCATGTAAGCAAACAGTAAGCCTTGTGACCAACAAAATTTTGCCAACAAAAGCTCAAGAGGAAAAACAGGATTAAGTAACAAGTATATGTCACATAAAGCATATTTTTTACTTAATGCCAGCGTTGTCCCTGTGCACAGCCAGAGGCCATCACGCACACACTGAGGGTGTGGGGCTGGCAGCAGGGCAGCACACAAGCCCCACAGGGTGACGGGCCCTTCCCTGCTTGCCTTCCCTCTTCCTCCCTCTCTAGCATGGCAGGAGCCATGCACAGCTCTGAACACCACAACAAAGTACAGGAAAAAGTACCAAATATACGAGCCAACTATCTCTTACTGCCCTAACACATACCCAGGAATAACTACAGAGTCCAACTGGCCCAGAGTCAGCATCTCGTGCCCAGCATATATTTGTTTCCATAGCAAATAAAGTCTCTCATATGACTGAGAAATGATGATGTGAAAACATTGGTTCTGGTGAAAATCAACCTAAACTTGCACAGTAACAAAGACCATATGTTCACGATACTTGAAGATGAAGACAGTCAGAAAGTCCTAAGCTAGGCACATTGCCTGGGCTATTCAAAAAGCCATGGTGTGTGCCCTCACACCACTGTTACACACGCTTGCAGTCCAAGCATGCCCTTAGCCACAGCCAGGAAACAAAGCGCTTCGCAGGATCCAGTCCGAACAGGACAGGAGACTTGCAAGAGTATCTCAACCATTGCCAAAACACTGAAGTATCCAGCTTCTGTCACAGCTGAGCACTACAGTATCCTTGTCTCAGTCTGGTCATGAATTCCCAGTTGAAACACTTGTTCAAGGAAAAGGCTGGTTTTCATGAAAATCAACATCTCATTTTCCACTAGGCAGATCTCCCGTGACACAAAACAGTTTTTAGACTCTTGTGCTGCATCCTGGTAGCATAGCCAGAGAGATTTCGCTTTGATTAGGAAGTACAGGAACTGTGTGTTTTAAAATGTATTGCTAGAAATCTTATTACTAAATGTATCAATCTTTAAAATGTAAATATTTTCTCTCTGATTCAGGACAAGGACAGATCAAAACAGGACTAGAAATTAGGGCATTTGTTCAGCACTACAGCAAAATAAACAGACAATGGCAAAAAAACAGTCATGATGTGCATGTTAACCTAACCAAGTAAACAAAAATAAGTCAGGATTAGAATTTACATATGACAAGAATAAAGGATTGATTTCAGAAAGCAACTTATTAATGTAACTTAAAGGAATTCACATTTAAAAACACTACTAATTCCTAAATGTCACAAGAGACAACTTTTGCAAATTGGAAGCCGGAAACATTAAATATGCAAGATGCTTATAAATGCTCATTCCATTTGTCTGTTTTAATTAGACCTTCAAGAAAAAACAGAGTTCCATCATTGTTACACCATCACCTTTACACTATGTATTCCCATATACTACTTCACAGTGGAATTATTTTCTTTATGGTTTATTTAGCAGTCTTACAATTATTTTTACAGCGATCATCCTCTATTGTTATAACTATTAAAAATAATTAATATATACATTTGATTTCTGTACTATTTTGGAGATTTTAATAACGTAACAAAAGCCTTCCACTAGGAAGGGGAAATTTCCGCCCTAACTTACTCCCAGAAAACTTTAAATCTGGTAAAATTAGACCTTCTTAACTCTTAATTTCTTCTTTTTAGAAACTCCTCTACATTCTAGGATCTATGTAAAGGGAAATACTTGTAATAATTAGTCATACTAACATACATACTATGTTATAAAGCCATTACAGGAAAGCAATAGAAAGAGTAGTTCATTATCTTTCTGTTGCTAATTGGGGATTTACATCTATACTTCTTTTTTTTCTGGACACAAAAATTCAAGAAAATGAGAGCAAGGATATCTGCCAGGGAGATAAAAATATTGACCAACAAATGAGGCAGAGCATGGACCACCTGTTATAAATACTGAAGTTTTAACATGGTAATTGGAGGTGTAAAAGGCCTCTAAGGAATTAACATAGAAGTCCAAAGGCTAATTTTTAAACATTGTGTCCACTTTTCTTTCTGGAGAAAAATATGTAAAAATATACATAGTAGGAAATAAAAGCCACAACCAGAAAGCATGTGAAGTTTATAAGAATAGCATATGTTCTTTTTCTGTGCCAACGGAAGACCTCAAACTTCGATTTACCCATATGCTGGAGTAATCTGAAAGAACACAAGTTTTACCTTGAGGCAGTAAGAGATGTTTAAATAGCTCTCTAACTTAAGACAGCTTTCTGGATCTTGGAACAAGAAGTTTGGGGGTTTTTACTGTATTGAATAACAATCAAAAATACAAGGTAGAAAAGACAGATAATTTCAGTTTTCACATGATAGTCATGGGGAAAGTTTTTTAAGGAGTACCTTAAACACACTGGAGGAATGCATGTTTCTTATGCAATAACAGTGTCAGTAAAATGCAAATCTGAAACTTAGTCTCTCTGTGACCCTTCAACAGAAAAGTAAGACAAAAAGTACTTGGTTTTGGAGAGGTTTTTGCTCCTATACACATTTAGTTTGTTAAATGCCTGTATATTTTGCACGAGATAGTAGGCAGATGGAGTGCTAGGGTGGCCCTCTCCCTAGGAACAGGACTGTAATACCACATGGTTATTTTTCTATTTGGTAGCTTCCTCTACTTGTGAGCTATGAAGCCACAAAAATTCATAAATGACAAACTTTGTGTATAATTTCATGTTGACTTAAAGGAAGTGTTTTTGGGGTGAATACTGTTAAGCACATGAGAAATTCCCAATGAGGTAAGACCAAAAGCATACTGACGGCAACCTAGTGAACGCTGTCATCACCATGCTACATTGGTTTTCCAACGTCATTAAAAATACTGTTTGCTAAAGCATATTGGCAACTATATAAGTGCTTTATCCTCAAGCTGTTTTTAATTTCAGCAACTGACTGTTTTCTCTGAATGAAGGAAACAGTTATTGGCACCATGAGGGTCCCATGAAGCAACAATCAAAGAGCTATGTGAATGAAGAGAGGAGCTGTCACATCATACCTAGACTAAAACAAAAGCAAACAAACAAACAAAAAATTAAAACAAAAGCAAACAAAAAAAAAAACCCTATTTCCTCTCTGATTTCCACCAAAACGTCAACAGTCACCGCTGCATCACTATTTCCTCTCTGATTTCCAGCAAAACGTCAACAGTCACCGCTGCATCAAACTGTCTCTGGAATACAGATACACTAAATCCAAGTTTTCTCCAAGACTTATCTTTATGATATGGGAGCCTTCAAAGCACTGTGCAAAAGAAGAAAAAAACCAAATTCAAACTAACCCCAAACCCTAGCCAGGCTTTAAACATTTGCTCTGAGAAAAACACTTGGGATGGTTTATTACTTCTCTAAGTTGGCGATATGGGGTTTAGGCTGGTAAGAATGGTGAAGGCATAAACCATCAACTCCCCATAAGAGGGAATTAGAGCAGCAACGGCCTTGCCATTTATTCAGCTCTTCCATGCCCTGTCCTTGCCAGTTCCATTCCAGGTCTCTCAAGCAAAACGCTTATTTACTTATTTATTGTATGATGTAAATACAGTATTTTATTTTTTAAGAGGGCAATGTAGTCCTTATAAATCTGAAGCTTAAAAGCCTTGATTTATCCTGTAGTCCATCTACATAAAGCATCTGAAGAGTTGCATTCTTTGAGAGTTCATTCGAGAGCCATTCAGATATTTTGAAGTATCAATCAAACAAATGCACAATGTGGTATCATTGAAATATCCAACCTAGATACAAAGGAACTTAATACCTAACAGATAAAACAACAGTAAAATGGGTGTGAAGGCTTATCTATGCATCAAAAAGCCAGTATCAGCAGTTTTTAAAATTATATTTTAAATTGGTGTCCATAAAAAGATGAGGTTTTTTTCCAGTTAATGTGAAATTGCCAGAGCTTTGAATAGAGCAAGAATTCACACAAAAAATATCACATCATGCAAAGCCAAGCCACTTAAAAATCAAAATCCATCAAAATAAGGTCCATATTTGTTAGCTAATAGAAGTTTGCATTTGCAGACAGAGGTCAGCATTTTGAGACTATTAGTCCTGCTAAATGGAAAAAAAAAAAATTAATCCCAGTCAATTAATGTCACATGTAACACACTCTTAGTCCCTAAAATTTAAAGCTCAAGACATTTAACTATGTGTACTGTATTTATAAATCAAAATCCACGAGATCTCCAGAATGCCAATGACAAAACCCAAGAACAATGTATTCAGATACAAATCACAGTTAATGGAAACAAACTGGATGCAAC